CCTGGAGGTGCTGAGAGGAGGAAGACTTGGAGGGACAAAAGGAAGCCTGTGGACGGGTGCTCGGTGATGGCCCACCACTGAAGGTGATTGCAGATGTCCGATGGAAGAGGGACAGACTGGGGTAGCAATCGGGTCACTCTTGGGACGGTACTGAGATAGGATTTTAAAATAAAAAAATATACACCACTCTAACATCGGTCCTGATCGGAAGCTTTACAAATTATGGATTCGCAAGCTTGCAGAAATTAATAAAAATGCTGATGACCAGGTTTTGGGCTGGCAGTGGACTCCAGGAGCAATAACTGATATCCCTGTCAGCAGACGGTAAGTTTGAGCTTACTGGTATTATTTTCTTGTACAGTTGAACACTGAATGGCAGTTATATTATTATCTAAAGATCCTCACTCTTCTTAATGAAGCATCATAATGATACTTGGACATTCAAAATTATTGTTTAATTTTGGTGTGCATCTTTTATAAGGTAACCGTAATTAAGCTATGATCAGCCTTAATTATTATATAATACTTATGACATCTTGTAACGATGACAGGCGATCAAACCCCCTTTTGCTTCCTATATGAAAAGAAGTGGCTATTTATAGGGTGTATATATCCTTATTGTTTGCTGCAAAAATTGCAGATGGCAACTTTGCCTAGATAGAGGAAATCCTCCAACTGTTCATGCTGGCAAGGCAGACAGGCCGGCGACCAGCCTAGTCGTCCCTACCTTGTGAAAGCACCGTCCGTTTTGTGAGGCAGACAGGCCCGTGAAGAGCAACAGCCCAGAAAAGAACTTCTGGTTGTTGGGTGATGGTTGCCCTGATTCCAGCCTACTTACCTGGAAGTAGCGTTATAGGAACATCTGAATAGTTAAGAGGGACACCCTCATCACAAGCACTCAAAACCAAATGCAAACTGACTTTAACCACTTCCTGCTGGGGCATTTATCAATGTTTTAGGATGCTGGGCCGGCATAATTATTATTTTTTCTGTTTTCAAAATTCTTCAAAAAATCATCATTTCATTTAATGGACATTTAAAGCCGCACTTAGTAATCTTTTAGGCACTACTCTAAGTTGACAGGTGACCTTCATTGACGCCCAAGTATTTCAGCCAGGCCTGCAGCCTTGTAAAAAGACCCCAGATTGTGTGGTGTTATGTAACTTTCTTTAGTTCACAAACCAGGCTCAGTGCACTGCTGACCTCTTTTCAATAGGGGCCAGATTAGCGTGCAGCCGTGCTGTGTGGCTCATCGCTGCGGTGGTGGACCGCTTTCATTCCCGGTGGTAATCTGCTCGCTCTCAATGCCCCAAACCGTGGTATACTGTTTCAAAACAAGGCTGGATTATCACCACTTTTGAGAGTGAAAAATGTTGATAATTCCTAGCAGCCTGGTCTTTTGTTCGGAG